GCCCCATCGGAATTGGGGACCTCTTTTTTGTTGTGCAGTGTTCACACGCGTAAGAAAAGAGGTTCCCGTCTCTGGAGATATTATCATTAATTTACAAGAAGCCATCACTAGTGGGTAGCACTCAAAAGGGAGAAGTAACAGTAATAGGAAAATGTGGTTTCATAGGCTGTGCAGAGCTGAGAGTTTCCATGTTATGTAACTTGTATTTATACAGTTACAGAAAGTTACAGAATTTGCCTCAATCAAAATTAGGCACCAGGGCTGCGATCTGGCAGTGACTACAGCTTTTCCCGGTTGTTCCCGAACAACAGCGTTCAGAGAGGCAAAAAAGCAGCAGGATCCTTCACTCAGAAAGATCTCACTCAGCAGAACGTCCTCTCTATTAACTTGGACCCTTCACAGGTGCACTGAGAGGCAGGATTCATCCTGTCTATAAATATGTTAGAAGTGATTGTGCTCATTAGTACGACCTAAGTAAATTGGAAAAAATAATGAATAGCCATTTACTATAAATGTCTCTAACTGACTTGCTTGAAAGTATTTACCCTGAAGTGAAAGTAATTTGATTTAGTTAATGTTTATTGTAAGTATATGCAGACTGTCTTCCATGGCAAGATGTATTTTGAGTAATCCAGACAATTGAAACTGGTGAGCACACTGTCTGGGGAAAGCATCTGTAACCGCAGCCGAAAGCGGAACGAGGCTGCCGACAGTCTTTCAAGACATGTGTTCGAAGCATGGGTTCCCATGGCCTTCTGAGTGCCTTGCAGGCTGTTTTCCTGATATAGATATAGGCAAGTCAATGGGGTCCTAGATTTTTCTTCATAATTTGTCTTTGTGATTTTTCACTAATTCATTTTCTCCTATGCTACTTTGCTTGCTTACTTTGATAACAGTATCACCTCAAGAAGCTTTAAATGGGACAAAACATGGGTTTGAACTACTTTTATTCTCTTTCACCCCAGTATGCATCTTCCCAGTCTGCTCACATTGCAGAAAGGAGTCTAATTTTACACCTTAATTACTCGGTGCATCTCCTTCAAAAACAAAATGAAAATGCTTCTGCTGGATGCTTTCCATGCACTCTAATAAATAGGAACTTCAGATGTAACGCCTATTTTAGCTCCAGGCTGTGGTTAAACATTTTAATAGTGTAGCAAACTTATCAACAGACCTTTCCTTCCCCACCCCACCCCCCTTCCCTTTTTACAATGAAAAGATTTTTATCCGACTGGCTCGTGACTTGGGGATTTTTACAAGCAAGGTCAGGAACTTGTCAAATATTTTGAAATTTAAATCTGAAAACAAAAAACTACCTTCAAAAAACAGTGCCTTATGCAGTGTGTGACAGCTGGAAAAAAAAATAATTGGCTTGCTGAAGCACATACCAGGTTCTATTTTCTGATTTATCAAAACTTAACTAAAAGTTACCAGTTTGATTCCTTGTTTTAATATTCCAAGGCAACATTTATTCTAGTGTAACTCCATTGAGTTTATCAAATTAGTGCAGCTGCAAGAGTTTAAACATCAGTGAAGAAGTTATCTAAGCAAATTAAGATGTTGTAAATTTTAGCAGCTGTGCTGAGCTGCCCATTAGAGGCAGAGGCAGGAGGAACAACCATGCAACATTGTGAAAGGGCTTTTTTACAGCAAGGTCTCCACCTCTGATCAAGTGTGCTTACGGCTGATAAGAGTGGCCTGTGAGAAAAATAGTTTGTGGATTACAAGAAGCATTAAATGTATGCAGGGAAACATCTTGGCGAGTTAATATCCAGTAAGGAACTCTAGTGACTTGATGGTTTTGTCTGGTGACCCAATTAAGAGTTTTACACAAACAGTCACCATCCTTTTGACTGGTGACTACCCAAATCATTTTCCTGTTCTAAGTCCCTAATTTAGCAAAGCAGTAATCTCTGTCACTCCACGCCTTTGATGGTGGAAGCAGTGCTATAAGATCTGGAAGAGGCCTGGGAGATGGTTACTGCCTCCAGCTTCCTGTCCCTGCCAACAGGCAGGAGGTTATCACAGGTCAGCTGGCAGAACGGAAAGTGCGGCGGTAAGCGCTGGCTTTATATTGATTTTATATTGATGTGGCTGATTTTACGCAGAAATGGATGAAGAACAGGCCTCCATTCCACCTCGTGGGTGCCCACAAAAGCTTCCAGCGCAGGGCAGCAGCTGGTGCTGACCGGCCATGGCATCGTAAAAGCTGCTGGGCGCTCGGAGCAGACGTCCCGAGGCACCGCGGCACGTGCTGCCCAGTCGAGTCGTGTCTGCTTTTGAGAGGCTGCGCTGCACATGTGTGTGAATGGCCATGAGCTATTTGATACCAATCATCTATTTCAATTGGCCCAAAGGATTCATTGAGCATCCACCACCTGATGCTTGAATTTATTTATTTATAGTGAGAAGGGAAGAAAATCACAAAAGTAAAAAGAATGGTTGGCTGGTTGGTTAAACTGTTCGTTTTAGAATGAGAAGGTCAAGAATCATAAGGACCTTCATATAATCAGCATCACCAGAGTGATATGTTTTGAGTTTTAAACATGTAAAACTTTTTAATATCCTAATGCCTGACCTCTATTGCTCATTATTGCCTTTGGCCCGTTACAGTGCTGGGAGGAACACTTTACTGAAGAAGCATTAATAACTATGTTCGTAGATATTCAAATTCAGAAGTACTGTTATAACACCACATATTTTAACCTCTTGCATAGACCTATTTTCACCAGCATATTCCTTTATCAAGGAGCTCTGTCATCTGTAATTGAGCAAGAACATGTCTCAGTTCAATTCTCAGCTAAGTAGCACCATTCTTATTCTGAATATTACTTAAACTTAATTTTAGGCATGTTTATAAGTCCATCATATTTGATAAGATTGAAGTCAGTAGGCTGAAGTGTTGTTCTGAACCAGGCCTTGATTGGGTAATAAATAACAAATTACATGCGCACACTGACACTTTTATTCTTTCAACCTTCCCTCAGGAAATATGCACTGAAATCATTAAGTATTCATCAGAAAATCTGCTATTACTGCTAAGTGTTTCTAATGCAATAGTTTTGTACTATTGGTGTCAGCTGAACTTCTTACAGAGTCCAGAGCAGAATCCAGGACAATGTGCATCTAGCAAGAGATGTTTGTTAACTGGGATGGTCAAATTAAACTATTGCCTGAAGAAGGGTACCAGAAAGCTTTAGCCTCAAAAATGAACAGTTCTATAAAGCTGAGTATTATTGCCATGGAAACATCATCCCAGCACCAACTATTTGGTGTTGCTTGTTCACCCCATTAGAGTAATTATTTGTAATTGTTATTGTTGT